AGCATGCTACCAATCCCCTTCTCTAGATCTACATAGATATAAACCCATGGGAGCATGCTACCAATCTCCTTCTCTAGATCTACACAGATGGCAAACCCTGGACTCTGGCCCACAGAGAATCTAGAGGCGACCTTGGGCTTGGACTAGTACAGTCTTGAAAATGTCCTGAGGGATAGTGGGTATGTCCTAAGCACCAAGACAACATGAGCTTCTGGGAAGCCCACTCTACCAGCCTACCAGCCAGATGCAGCTGTAGAATTACCAGCACACAGGTTCTCCTCACTACCAGAACCTCACCCCCGAAAGAGTGCCTATCTATGTTCCCCAAAATGGCCTGAGCCTGAACATTCTCATCCTGGGTGAGAGAAGAAGGCCAAGCCCCCGGGAGCCAGATACCTCGAACCGTGAGCTGAGCAGACGATGAATGGCTGCCCACATGGAAGGAGACGGTGCCAGCATCCTCCAGTGTCACACCCTTCAGCTGGAGCATGTGGGTACGGCCATCTCCAAGAACGGCCACCTCTGTGACTTCATTGCTCTGCAGCGGCAGACCCTGGAGACGCCACTGCACGTCTGTGGCTCCTGCTCGCGACACCTCACAAGTAAACTCCACATCCTCGTCAGCCTGCACCTCCATGTCAACCAGTCCCCGTACAATGGTCACCTCAGGCTCTGGAGGAAGGGGACAGAGGAGAGAGGCCCTTTACTAGCCTGAGCCAAGTTCCCTGAAAGCCTTCCTTGACACTCGGGTGCTTTTCTGTCACCTGCTGGGCTCACAGGCATGGAAGCTGAGCTGGGGGGAGGGCACACTTGCTTTCCCCACAGGCCAAGAGAGAAAGCGGTCATACAATGGTGAGTGCTGTGTCTGGCCCTGATACCTTTGCCAGCCCTGTCCTGGCCAGGTCACCATGAAGCAAAACCTTCCGTAGGAATAATTAAAGGCACAGAGAATGCTTCAAAGGCCAGCAATGCTACACTACCTGCTGGCTGGGGAAGAGGAGGCAGGGCTGCCTTTGGGGGCCAAGGTCTGTCCTGGTTGCTATGGCCCTTCAGTTGCAGAATCAGAACTGGAAGTAGTTTAGGAATGAGAGGAAGAAATGTGGAGGTCCTGGCCCCAATATAAGTGGTACCCAGGAGAGCCCAAGATGTAGCAGGAAGGGCTCCAGCTCTCCTCCTGGGGTCTAGCTACTCACCTTTGACTCTGAGAGAGGCCAAGGTCTTCTGGCCTCCCACCACACAGGCATATTCCCCGGTGTCCTTGGTCTCGAGCCCGTGGATCAGCAGCTCGCACGCAGCCCCCTGGCGCCGCATCTCGTACTTGGAGCCGATGCGCAGCTCCACACCCTCCTTGAACCACTGCACTGGAGCCCCTGGCTCAGCCTCGCTCAGCCGGCAACACAGCCGGGCCACGCCACCTGCTTCCTGCTCGGTGCTCTGCAGGCCGGTCTTGAACCTGGGCTTGGGGGCTGAGGGCCATGAAAAAAAAAAAAAAAAAAAAACTTAGAGCCACAGGTTCCATCTCCCCGACTCTGACTGAACAAGGTCTCCTGCTCTTAAAAGAGTAGGAGGGGGGCTGGGCACATCCCGGCTGCAGGCAGCTCACCTCGAACTGAGAGTCTGGCGATGCTCTGCGCGTGGCCTGCGTCGCAGACGTATTCACCGGCATCCTCCTGCTCCACCTCTCGGACCAGCAGCGCAGCCGTCGTGCCCTCCTGCACCATCTGGTACTTGGCACAAGGGAAGAGCTGCAGGGAGCCCTTGCGCCACTCCACGCTTGCAGCCGCCTGGCTCAGCTCACAGTGCAGGTGCGCCGTGGTCCCCTCGTCCACCTCCTGGGCCTGCAGCTCCCTGAGGAACCGCACGGGAGCAGCTGCAAGGTTGCGGGGACAGCGTGAGAGCGGGTCCCTGGGTTGTTGAGGGTGTTACAGTCAGGGAACCCCCCACAGTAGATCCGTGGTCAGGATCCACAGGACACTGCTGCAGGGAAGAACCAGGGACCCGCATACAGCAGTGCTAGAGGTTACCGCACCTGCCTGTGAAGCTACCAGGGAGGAGAGAACACCTGAAGAAATAACCCTGAGGGGCCACAGAGACAGGAACGGTTAAGGTCACAGAGACCCTGCCGTGAAACCATGACAGGTGAAGGAAGAACTCTGGGGCAGGTTTGGAAAGTGACTGCGGACACACGGAGACTTGCGTCACCTGGCAGGACAGTGGAGAAGGTACCACAGAGGGCGGGCATATGACGATGGGTCTCTGACAAGGACAGAATGAAGGAGATGCTCAGGAGAACCTCAGGCGCCCAGCTACTGGTGAGGGAGGCAGACCTCGGGGCTACCCATTCGAATGAGTTCTCCTGGCTGCGACCCATGAAAGAGGGCTGCGACTGTGAGGGTCAGCGTGAAAACTGTGCCCCCGACAGCCGGCCCCCAAACACTGGAGTTGTTTGCCAGCCTCGGACACCTACCCGTAACCACGAGTGTGGCGTTCGTGCTCTGGGAGCCGCAGGTGCAGCTGTACTCGCCCGCATCCTCGCGGCGCACATCCCTAAGCAGCAGCTCAGCCGCACACCCCTGCTGCCGGGGCTCTCGGCGCGCATCAGCCTGCAGCTCCAAGCCACCCTTGCTCCAAACCACAGCGGCATCGGGGACTGACAGCTCACACTGCAGGCTGGCCGTGGAACCTTCCTCCACTTTCAGGTTCTGCAGCGGTTTCTGGAACACCACCTGCGGGGCTGTCAGAGGACGGAGAGGCTAACAGACCCAATTAAAGACGCACCCTTGAGTGCCCTAAGGCAGCCAGACAGGGTCTGGCTTCTCTACAGTGCCAGGGTAGGCCCGGGGTTGATGCAGGATGAGAACACAGGTCTAGGGGGGCTTCAGGGTAAGGGAGCTGATGGGGAGATTGGAAATAGCTCAAGACCTGGCTCTGGGTGCCTGCCTCCCACTTAGTCCATCCAGTCCCCTGCAGGACTACATCCGAAGGACCGACCCAGAGAGGCACTCGCGTCAGGCCACCCAGAACAGATTCAAGTCTAGTCATGCCTCTACAGACCAGAACTCAGGAAAGGGCTTTGTGCTTCAAGGTCACAGCCTCAGACCAGACCTTGGAGTGTAGCCTAGCTCTTCCAAGGCTGCTGGAATGGTTCCTCTGACACACAGTGTGTCGCACAGACACCAGGAAATAGCCGGACCTCTCAAGATCAGGCAGGGTTCTGTCCTCCATGTTCTGGAGACTTCAAGATACAGCAGCCATTGGGCTTCACAGAGCCACACTAGGAACATGTCCCCATCTGCAGGGTACAGGACCCACTGAGGGACCCACATGTCCTCTCTGAACATCCATTGAACCCCAGTCAAAGAGAACATTTAGCTAAGCACACACAGAAGCTGGAATGTGGCTGGCGAAGGGTAGGATGTCTGGGGACACAGTGGGAACAGAGAACATGTTCTGTCCCAACATGATAACCAGCAGTGTGAGGGCATAAGGGGTAAGTTACAGACACCAAGACCCTGGAGAGTGCTGTGGCTGAGATCAGACAGGACAAACAGAGCATTACAGAAAAAAATGAGAGAGGCAATCCCAGGGAGAGGTAGAGAGGGACAGGGTAGATAGAGAGCAAGAACTTAAGTCCAAAATCATCATGTGGCCACAGGAGGTGTTTACCCGTGATGCTCAGGGTGGCCGAAGTCCTCTCCTGCCCACACAGGCACCAGTACTCCCCAGTATCTGCCACAGCCAGGTCACGGATCTGCAGCTCACATACAGCCCCATCCTGCCTCAGGCTGTATCTGTCCCCATCTCTCAGGCTCTCAGACCCCTTCCTCCACTCCACGGGGGCCTTCTTGCTTAGCTCACACCGCATTGTGGCTGTTGTACCTTGCATGGCCTCTTGGCTTCTCAAGCCTTCTATAAATCTGGCGGGCAGGGCTGGGAAGGACCAAGAAGTCACTGAGAACATGAAACTGGCGAAGCTTGTACACAGAACGCACCACCCACGAAGAACTCAAAACACCACAGAAAACAGGTGGCAGGGGTAGATGGTGAGTAGGGGGAAAATCCATGAGGGATACAAAGGGCAGTGAGATGGATGGGAACACAAAAGCATCTCTTCAGCAAGCAGGATGACTCCAGGTACAGGACAGAGGCCACCAGGTGGCCACAGGAGCTGTGCCACATGCTCAATCAGACATAGCAATAAGACAACATGGAGACACCAAGGCTGAGGTTCAGATGGCCACACATGATCATTACCCTTGACACTCAATGTGGCTGAGGTCTTCTCCTGCCCACACACGCATGAGTACGCCCCAGCATCTTCCACGGTCAGGCCACGGATCTGCAGCTCACATGCGGCCCCATCCTGCCTCAGGCTGTATCTGCCCCCATCTCTCAGGCTCTCAGACCCCTTCCTCCACTCCACAGGGGCAGCCTTGCTCAGCTGGCACCTCAGCGTGACCATGGTGCCTTCCGTGGCCTCTTGGCTTCTCAAGTCTTCTATAAATCTGGTGGGCAAGGCTAGGAAGGACCAAGCGCTCACTGAGAACATGAAATTGGAGAACACTACACACAGGACGCACAACTCACAAAGAACGACACACTAGCAGAGGAACACAATATAAACATGTGATGGAAGGCGCAGGTGGTGAGGAAGGCAAACTCGTGGAGAACAGAGAGGGTGGTGGCATGGATGTGAACATAAGAACATCTGGGCATGTGGAAGCACAGGTGGAGACGCCAGGATGAGTGAAGGCACAGAATAGATGGTCACAGGCTCACTACAGGAAACCACGTGTGGAGACAGAAGTGTCCATGAGACAACATGGAGACACCAAGGCTCAGGTTGAGATCACACACGATCTTTACCCTTGACACTCAGTGTGGCTGAGGTCTTCTCCTGCCCACACACGCATGAGTACGCCCCAGCATCTTCCACAGCCA